CTCCCTCACCATGGCTTCCAACTTCAACGACATAGTCAAGCAGGGATACGTGAGGATACGGAGTAAGAAACTGGGGGTGAGTATACTGTTGCACTTGCTGTCTAGCGAGGAGGAATAGAAGGAGGAGGTGGTGTAGGAGGAGGAGGAGGAGGAGGAGGAGGAGGAAGAGGAGTTCCAGTTGTTTGCAGTCAAGGGCAGCTGGATTAAGAAAGAGGCTTTAATTGCTCCGTAGGCAGCCGTCCTGCTGTGAGCTCTTCAAGAGGAAAAACAGATTAGAGCAGCACGAGCAGCGGCCAAGTTTCGCTCGCTGCTTTTGTGCACAAACACTCGCGCGCAGACGGAGATGCTGCTGCTGCTAAAGTGCGGATGATTGACAGCCGGTGTCATGTGCGCGTGTTTGTGAATCATGCCCCTCTCCTCCTCCTCCTCGTGTTTTCGGTTTCTGCAGCTTGCAACTTCATGTCATCTGGGAAATTTAGTTTGCAAGTAAATGCAAATATCAAACCATAACTTTACTAAAAAAAAAAAAAAGAGAGAGAAATCTATCCATTAAGAAATGCAAACTAATGAGTGTTACATATGTGTGCATGGTGTTATAGAGGCTGTAAGACAGACAACACTCTCCTGAGGATTGTCTTTCATAACAGTGAATTATCAGCCAGTGCAGCCCTACTGTACTTTAACTCTCTTTCAGCCTCCATGAATTATTCCCAGCTACTGAAAAGTCTCATTGAAGTCCAGCTGATCCAGTGTGAAGGCAGCCCCCTCGGTGGCTTGATAATGGATTCCCATTGAGATACAGCAAGGAGGGGAAAAATGGGCCGAGTGCGTAAATTGAAATGAATGATATATATTCAATTATGAGCGCCTTATTGTCTGACTCATAAAGCCATCTGCTTTTGTTCATACTTCCAGCTCATTACGCTAACAGTGCGGGCACACTCCCTCTCCTCTGATGAAGTGTGATGATGGGGGCTAATGATGTCTGCCACCTCACATCATCACCTGTCTTCATCAACACTGTTCTACTATTGTTTGCTCAGGATACCTTTGATTGCACTTTGAGAGTAGCTGTAGTTGTGAAACCCCCTCGCTGCCTGTGCAGGACCTGAAAAAACACAAGACATCTCATGTTGTTAACATGCAAATCAGCTTGTACAGTTGACTCAGTTTGTTTGCTCCTTGCATATGCTGTTAGCAAGACGCATTCAGAAAACGTGGCTCGGCTTATGACTTTGCAAAGCAAGCGAGGATGCATGCTGTGTTGGCTGGTGCTTGAGGTATGGATGCCGTATCGCTGCCAGCTCCGCATCTCATCCTGCTGTTTGTGGAGAAAAAACAGTTTGTGTCCTGATCGCCCACTCCCTCAGCCCTCCACCGCTTGCTGCTGTTTCATCATAGGAAAGTCATGCTGCGATAGCCTCAGAGGACCTCGGTGTGGGTAGGCAGAAAGTATTCATCTGTCCACGCTCGGGTTAGTTATTCCAGGACAATTCTCGTTGCGAGTCTTGACGGAACAAAACAACAGCACCGAGGTGTCCCTGAATCAACAGGCGCTGGTGCATCTCTGTGATTATTCTGCCTTTTCTGTATGGAGGAAATCATCATCAGCATCATCAGTGCTAAATTGGATTATTTCAAGTGTTGTTGTGTGTGTATTTTCAGAGAGATGAAAATCCAAATGTGTGTGGGCAGAGTGGAGAGATACACATCTGGGTGAAGGGGGGGAATGAATCACAGTTGGCTAAAATCCACACAGAAAAAGTGTTGTTTTGCAGCCTGTTTTGCAGCCCAAACATCTTATTTACTTTTATTTTTGTCTTAATTTTCTGTTCTGCTACTGGTGGCTCAACAGCTCAGCAGTGTTTGTGGCTGTGAAGCGAGATTTGAGGCATCGTTATCCTGTCGCACAGATTCAACCGGAAGGGTGACTGAAAACAGTCATTTTCAGTAACATGGACAGGAAGATGCACTGACGTCTGAGCTTCTTAGGATTCCTCATCAATATAATGCAGGCAAAAGTGCAACACAGACCTCCATCGAGAGAAAAATCCCCTTTGACATAACTGTACCCTTCCCTCAAACTTTGAAAACAGTAAAAAAATGCTCATTGAAAGTTCACAGAGGTGGTTGATCAATGTGGTCTAAAAACGGCCGGTGCTGATATTTATTTATCGTCATCCAATGGAAAACATGGAATGCCAACATCACGTTGTTGTTTTTTCCATCTGATAAAATATCAAAAATATAGTAATATTAATAACAAATGAGACACAAAATCTGCGTTGCCTCTTCAGTAGATCTGCACTCAGTCTGCAGTGCTCTTAATTTGAAAATTATGTCAATTAAATACATTTCCACAGTTATCAGCAGATTGCAGCATCTCCTACTGGTTTGGAAAAAAAACAAAAAAACAACTTGTTAATGTCTGTGTAAGCATATCGTGTCGCTCCCTGTTGTCAACGCAGTGTGTTGTACTGCCGTTGTGTACAGATTTATCTTGGCTGGTATGCATCGTGGAAAACAACCCGTTAGCTGTGGTAGCCGGTGCAGACCAAACTCCTGTTAGCCGTCGACCAATACGAATTATTTCAAAACGCTGTTCAATCAAGACGATTTATTCGTCTGTCGCTGCAGGTGACGTCTCCAGCATGATTGATTTAATTGAACAAACTTGCCAAAATTCCCAGATATTCAACTTACTATCACATAAAAATGTGCATTTTGGGTATTTTAAAGTGACTGTGAGATTGTTCATCGCATGGAAGTTAAATTATTGACTCATCTATTTGCCTCTAAAGCCAGAATTCTTGAATATTAAGTGCGTAAATACAAGCAGCAGTTGAAAATTGTCACTGAAAAGCATCTGAAACTGGCAGCATTTTCATCTAAATAAGCAATTTGATGGGAGAAAAAGAAAGCAAGATTACAAATTTGACACTTTTGGACATTTTTTTCATACTCTGTGCTGCAGACGAATTTTGCTCGGCTCTGAAACGCTGTCGAGGTTTGACGGCCGGACCTGCCTGTCGCAGCAGCTGACTTCTGTGTGAGCTATCTCTGCCCAGCTGGAGTTTTAGGCCACAAAGGTCCTTGGGGTTTTCCTCCTCATGTGATGGTTATTTAATGTTTTTTCAGCGCTTTAAAGGTCTCTCAAATATCACATATCAGGACTTTGCATCACAGTTGACCTTCTAATGCCCCCCCACATGGGTCTCTATTGTAATGCTGTGCCATTTAAAGCGTATTATACATTATTTTTTATTAGAAAGTAGTACCGCCGAATGGTTCTCCTTATGCGATATGTATTAACGTGGCCACGGCAACACCAACAGCTTTGGCTGAACTCATCAGCATCACTCACTACGATTGGCTCATTTCCAAACCCCATCATGTGTGAAGGTTGAGGCCACGAGGTCAGGCCTGTGTTCTGCAGAGTGATCAAAATTACCGACTGGGCCACTTTCTTTCTCTCTCTCTTTTTTTTTTTTTTTGGGAGGATGTTTGTTTTCGTTTTTTTTCCCTCCGACATGAATGTCAACGATTTCCTACATTAGCCGACTTCTTTGTCTCGTTGTTGGCTGAAAAGACAACGGTGCAGTGTTCCTGAATGCACAAGTAGTCTCTCTTTCCTCTCCTTTCTCACATTTCCCCCTCGTCTTGCTCACCTCTAAACCCATTCTCTCACCTCTCGTTGCCTCCCCCCCCTCCCTCCTCCGCATCTCACCTGTACTCCCCACCACGTAACAGTTACCGCTCTCATCTCCTTTCCCCTCTATTTTATCTCGCTTCCTCTTTTCTTCCCCCTCCCCGCCCCCTTTATCTGGCTATCTCCCTCACCTTATCCCCCCCTTTTCTCTCTCACCTTTCTCTCCTTCGCTGGCTTGTAGACAGCTGCAGGACCGAGCACAAAAGCATCCTATTCATCACCCCACACTGCACCCTCCATAACCCCAACAGGCTATTCCCCCTGACACAGTGCAAAGGCACACACACACACTATCTCTCTCTCTCACACACACACACACTATCTCTCTCTCTCACACACACACAAGCACACACAAATTGGCTTGGTTCAACACTGAAAAATTGGCACACGCATGCACCCGACAAACAAGTAAACAATCTGCTGCCAGAGAACAGTGTGTAGATTCTCAATTAATTTTAATCCTGTGGCTTTGTACCATACAGTATTTTTTTTATTTTTATTTTTTTTTTTACTACATGAAGACAAACTAAATGCTCACAAGAGCCAAAAAAAAACAAGTGTCTCTGTGAAGAGAAAAACAAAATCTGTGGCTGAGAAACAGCGGTAGCGATACTGCCGTCATCAGCGCAGCCCCTCCGTTGCTTTCCAGCTTAAAAAACGTCCGATGCTATCAGCTGAATGGGCTCCTCTTGAAGGGCTGAATAACGTGACCTTTGAGTAATTTGTGTGTCAGTCTCAGACCAGGTACATGTTTCCCAGGTTTAGGATCACTGTGGTAAATAGAAAAGGTCAGCCGCTGAATATTTTCTCTCCCCTTCCCCTCCCTCCATCTGTCCAGCTTTTCTCGAAGCCTTTAACAAAAACGCTCAATTTAAGTTTGCTGCCGGTGAGTTTGTCTGCCATTCTCTCCATTCACAAACATGTTTTGACACTTCAAAGAGGCTGTAGATCAGATGCGGGCTCGCAGGTGGTTACAGATATGTAATATTTTAAGCAGACGCTTCACACGAAGGCTTCGCACTTAGACGGGTTGTTAAAATGTTTCTCACCACAGTAACAAGAATATTTTAATTTGAAAAAAAAATCACATGCAGCATTAACATGTTTTTTTAAATGTTTTTTTTCACACGCAAACTTAGTATAAATCTTTTTAGCAATGGATGACTACATGTTGTGTTTAATAATGGAGAAGTCATTTTTTTAAATAAGGCTTTTTACTAAAAACAGAATCAAAACAACAAACTTGGGGCCTGGAAAAGAAAAACAACTTGTTGAATGATGCTGTAAAGCCAGATCGAGCTAAATTGAGTTTTTTTATTATAATATTTTAAAAGTATTGATTTTAGTAGCTTTAAAAATGTGATCAT